GGGGGTGCCGGCAAGGTGAGCCCACGCTCCCCAAATCTGCCTCGCTGGCGGGGGGCGGGGCCCAGCCCTGCCGCCACCCCCCGCGCCGTGGCCAGCAGCGTTTGCGGGGGTGCTGCCACCCCTGGGCACATCTGTAGAGACCCAAACCGGGCGCCACCTCCTCCCCGTGCACGGTGCAAAAATAGCACCAAATTCATCAGAGAACTCATTCGCTAAAAATAATTCCAGTTGCAGCCGTGGCCTCTGCGGTTTGAGGAATACTCCCGGTATCGAAGCACGTGCTTTTCATTTCCACTGCGGCGGAGCCTGAAGTACGTGCGCTCCGGGGCTTAGCCAAACAGCATTTTGAGGGTGAAACCTGGCTTTTGCCAGCCGTGCCGCTGACTCGGGGTGGGGGGGGGGTGGCCTCCCTCCCCCCCCCCCCCCGCCCCGTGGTTGTTCTTGCCTTGTTTCCCATTTTCCCCCTTCTCGCGTGTGCTCGTCGTGCGGCTGAGGAGCGAGCTGTAGCCTTGAGCTGTTTTCGCGCGGTTTCTCGGCGTCACCCGCCAGAACCGTGCCGGGATCGGGATCGTGCCGAGCCTGGCGCCGCAGACCCGACACGTGCCCAGGCAGGGATTTGATAGGAAAGCTGGGGGCAGGATGAGGAAGCTGGTTGTTCGTCCGGGGGCAGGATTTATCCAGCTCCGTGCAGTTCCCCGCTGCTCTGGCGGGCTGGGAGAGGAGCCGGAGCAGGGGTAGCTGCGGGCTCGCCTGGCTGCGGCGCTGGGCAGAGGCTTTCCCGGCTGTAGTGGGCAGCTTTTCCCGAAGGAAAGCGGGAGGTGAGAGAGCAGGTGAGGTGGCAAATAAAAATGAGTCTGAAAAACAGAATAAAGCGAGAGCATCCTAGGAGAGGCGTTTGTACGAGCACTGTTTCAGTGACTGCGTTCGGTCCGGGGTGGGGCCGGGAAAAAGAGGAGCAGATTGACCTGAACAGCTACAAGTGATTTAAAGAAATCTATTGGAAGACGACGTGTTTTCAATGTGTAATTTCATGGTAAGAAAAGCCAGTATCTGTAAATAACCTGAGATATTGTACCTATGAGAACCATTCCTTGTTTTCTGTACTTGGCTCTTTCCATATTTATTGTGCCGAGGAGGGGGTGCCCCGCGCCGGTGTGTGCTGCCGCCGTGCCCCCCGGGGGTTTTTCCCACCGGGACCGCCTGCTGAGCGTGCCATCCTCGGCGCTTTGTGACTGGTGTGTGACTGGCGTGCCACACTTCCTTCCTTCCGCCGTTATTTTTTTATTTTTTTTATTTTTTTTTTTTTTAAAGGATTCTTTTGGCACAGCTAAGCTGCTTCTGTGTGTTGGTCAGTACAACTGCGCTCGTACGACGAGAACCCCAATAAAAACCGTCCTTTGCCTGTGCGCTGCCGCCTGGTTCTTTCGGGTCTCGCCTGCCCCCTCCCGCGGCCGCGCCGGGCCGCCCGTGGGGTGCTGCT